AGCGCTGGACATTCACTCCCCCCACCTACAATCCCTGCCGGTACCCAGACTCGAACCTGTGACCTTTGGGTTTTAAATCCGACTCTCTAACCATTAGGCCACCAAAAAAAAAAACCCTAGACAAAAAAATTTCATAGTAAAATTACATTAAAGCTTCTGTCTGCCAAAATTATATACAAGGTTTTATATGAAAATAATCCATGTTTCAGTTGAATTTACCCAGCTTCAGTTTGCAAATGAAGCCATTAATCCATAGACTGTGGCTGGTTCATCATTTAGCTAATATTGATTTTTGCCAATTTTAGTGCGGTTGGTCTAAAGCTAAACAGTATGAGATGTGGGCCTTCAGAAATCGGTTGAAGGTGTGAGGCTTGTTCCAAGAGGGAAGCTGTTAAAGCTGAGTAACCGTCCGATCAGTTCTCCATGCAGGGGGTATCGATTTGAAGAGTGAGGACATGTGCACTTTCTCAAAAAGCCTGATGGTTTCATCCTAACCAGGACTGAGACATCAAGATGTGTTTGAAACAGAGATACGGAGCAAATATTTATTAGAGAGAGAAAGGAAGACAGACAGAAAGGATCCCAGATGGAATGAGACTATCTGTGGATATTGCACCAGGATTAGATTCCTGACCCCCTGGGTTTGCCATTCCCCATGAGAGGCTACATCCACATTGCCTTCTCTGTAAAAATATGAAGAGGACAAAATTACTGACTAAGAACTAAGAGAAAAATAACATGAGGGAGGAAAAATGATGCAACCATGAGCATTAGTGTTGCTTGCTAAAGCAAACATTACCATTGCTTATTGTTATTGACGCTTAAGACTGGTCGACCACAGAAACGGTGCCTTTTTAAAACACTCGTTATTTCAAATACAAATAAGCACAGAAAATCCACAAAGATAAAATTGATTTTGCTTCTGGAAATGTCAAATAGTCTATTACGAAAACAATACATGAAGTTGAGGGAGGGCAGATACTGATCTGCAGGAGGTTTCAGGTGGAACGGGACGGTCCCTCACAGTCACGCTCTCTGCAGATGAGAGGGAGGTGCCTAGACCCCTATGGCTTTCATTAACACCTTTTAACGAGGCTCGTATACAAATAGAGATAGCAAGAACAAAGAAATGAGACTAACATGTAGGTGGGGGCTGAAAAGGGGGTTCTTTCTTTAAATAACAGCTCACACAAATACAAAAATGCACTTCTCATGACCTTGTAGTTTTGTCTTCCATGAAGCTCAGTGTCTGAATGGCTCTTTATCATAAATACATGCCTACTGTCAAGCTTCAAAAAGGACAAAAGCAGCATAAAATACGATCAACTATCACATGGCTTCAGAAAACCTGGACAATTGTGTACTTTTTTTTTTTTTTT